ATCATATCATGTTATAGTATATTGTATTATATTATATTATGTTATATTATCATGCTAACAGAATGGCTGGATGCATACCAAGCGGTTGCAGGCCCAGCTCTGAAAACCTTTCTAAGACCATTCTCCTCCATCCCACCAGGGCTCTGATTACTATAACTATAGGAACCTGGCTTAGGGTTTAGGGTTTAGGGTTTAAGAAACCTTGGTACCATGGATCCTAGTCCTTGTCTCCTTCCCTCTCACCCTTCCTCCCTGCAGCTTGCTTCCCTACTGGTCTGTCTCCAACGATTCAGCTCGTACTCTCTTGCTTCCACTGCACGCGCAGTTGTGCACATGAGGGAGCAGCTCATACGACCCTTGAGGTTGCATGGCTTTTCAAGACGAGTCGCTCATGGAGCTGGCCGTGAAGGCACCCTTGGTGCATTGGGACGCCTGGGATTCGTACTCCTCGGTCGGGAAGACCTTGCACACATCCTGCAAGCACGCAGAAAGATCTCCGTCGCTCTCGGGGACTCGGAGGAGTGGCGATCAGGCATCCCAAACCATGAAGCCCCTCAGAGACGTCCTTGGCCGGCCACAGTCCGATGTTGTGCTTCAGGTTGCCGCCGTGGAACCCTGCAAGGCCACCACCTTCGGCCTCGTAGACTCACATCCGTTTTTTTGAAGCTACGACTACAGCGACACGAAGACAACGCGCGGAGAAACGAGACTATACTGCATTGCAAGTTCAAAAGCAGCTTCCTCTACTCCTCGAAACAGAGAGCAACAATAATGATGGTATGAAGGGCAGCAGTCATACCAAGCCAACGGCGAATGCCAACATTGATCCTTATAGGTATTGCAAATACCGACACAAGCATACACAAGGGCCAAACCACTCAGTGCTCATATCGGGAAACCTGAGTCGCATCTTTCTGGTACTTGTACTAGTATCTTTGTAGTCGCTTTCGAGCATGATTCTCTCTCTCTCTCTCTCTGTCTCTCTCTCCTTCGGGCATAGCATGATTCTCTCTCTCTCTCTCTCTCATGCACACTTAACCTGTTGGCGTGTACCTGTGTTTCAGATGACTCTGCACTGTCATGCAAGTGTCGCGCTCACGACAATCCACATCCTGAGGAGCTCCCTTTCTCGCTACTGCTGCGAGGATTTTCTGGATCTGTGTCTACCTAGTTCTGCTTTTTGCTCTTACTGTACTTGCTACTGAAGATGTGTGTCGGTGGCAACGCTGAGCAAAACGAACCTCTCAAGCGAACCTCTTATGCTCAGGTAAGCCACCCAGTTCGGCAGGGCTGCCACCCCGACGCCGACCTTGGCGACTCCCACATGATACGGTAGGGCGTACACTTAGAAATTATTGTCGAGGCCGGGTGTCGAGATTATGTCGCATCCTGCATGTCAGCATGTCAAGTTCAGTCCTCCTTTCATGGCTCAACCGAGATGTTCGTCATCTGGAAGATAGCTTTTTTGACCATGTTGACTGACCGTTGGTGCGCTGCCCGGAATGGACAACGTACGTTCGCGAGCTTGGAAAGCTGATGAAAGTCGAGAGCTTCTCAGAAGCATAGCCGGCGACAGCTCAGGCTTCAAATGTTAAGCTGTACCGAGCACTCGCATTGTGGGCAATTTTGGTGCCAGCTGCAACCTGGACACGCCGAGGGATACGGCGAGGATGAAGCGCGTGCGCCGACCCATCTGCCCGCTGCCACCTGCTTGGGATCCACTTCGGGCGGTGGTCTAGGAGACTAGAGAAGCGTCAACGGTACTTGAACCCTCGCAAAGAAGGAACTGTCGGCGGCCAAGTCACCCACGATGTTGATGCCGGAGACGAGCACGTTGGCAAAGAGGAAGGTGGTCATGCCACCCAGCACAGCATCGGGAATGGAGGCGATGGCAGCTCCGAACTTCCTGGCTGGTTCAAGTCGCTATCGGAGCAGGTGACGCAGGAGCAGGATAAGCATTGCTTGCAGCATCACGCGGCACAGCATGAGCATGAAAAATATGGAAGATGTTTGCATGCTGCGCCGAGTCTCTCAAAGCAGCCCAGCAGGATGAGCCAGAAGCAGCAGGCGATGCCCGCCGCCCGGGAAGCGCAGCGCGTGATGGCGATCACGCCGTTATTCTGCGAGAAGGTCGTGTTGGGCGGGCCTCCAGCAAGGATGGAAAGCGACGGTCAGTCCCGTGAGTCCCAATTACAGTACCATCCACTTCCTGCAACTTTGCCGTCCAAGTGGCACGTCATCAAGCAGGCCAGGAAGCTGTTCACGCCGTCGGCAAGCAGGCCGCCCTGGATGCGGGAGTCGGCATCAGGGCCCTCGATGGGCAGGCCACTGACATCGCACGAGGCCTGCAAAGCACGGCAGCATGTGGCAAGGTGTGGCGCAGGCACCGCAGGCGCCTGGCCTGAATGTCACCGACCGTCTCCACCGCCGTGATCACGAAGCCCAGCAGCAGAGGGATGAAAGCTGGAGGGTAGAAGCCGATGTTGAAGGTGGTTGTCCTGCTCACAGCGGCAGGCTGCTGACAATCACTAAGCAAATCATTGCTCTAGCCGCACTAGCCCTTATAGCCATAGCCGATAGCGGGCTGTTGCAATTTGCTGTGCGGGTGGTAAGAAACACGGGAAGTCTCGGGAAGTGCGAAAGGGGCGGTCCAGAGAAAGGTGAAGACGCCGGCTTGATCGATCTTGTCGCCGTTCACGTACGGCAGAGAGCTGCCATCCTCTGCGGTGTAGGAGGAGACGCCCGCCACGAAGAAGCCGAAGAAGAGCGCCAAGGCGACGGAGCAGTTCTTCATGAAGGGAGAACCCACCGCCTGGATGAAGACCTGGCGGATGCTGATGCAAAACTTCCCAATAACTCATGACTCTTTCACGTCATATAGATACAGCGACCATGTATGCTGCACAGTTTTACTACACCCATAGGCATCCCTCTTGCAGCCAAGTCGCCAAGAAGATCATAACGCTCAGACCCAGGCCGAAGTAGTGCACGTCTCCATAGGGCAACGCCACGTCGCCGTTGCCGGTGCACACCTATCTATCTATCCATCCATCCATTCATCTAACTCATCTATAACTATACTATACGTTGTACACAGAGAGTTGTGTATGGTGAGTCTGCAGGAATACGGTGCGAAGCAGTCCCGGAATGTTTAAAGCTCTCGGTTGAATCCTATCTCCGCGAATACGACGAATCGATTCAAAATATGCGGAGTCTCTCCGTTCGGGGCCTGGGGCGAACCGAAGGCCGCGGCCCGGGACATGTCGTTCTCCGCGCAGAAGACGCCGCCGCCCCAGTACCTGCGGGCACGCGCCAGGCGACGACAGCACAGTCATGTTCCGGCAGTTCTGAGAATCAGCTGGTGCATTCGAGGGGCTTGAGGCCAGCGACAGAGAGGCCAGCACCGATGAGGCAGACGCAGGTGCCGCTGACCACAGGTGGGAAGATCTTCTTGAGGTAGCGGGGCGGCACGAAGGAGATGAAGAGCTCTGTCACGGAGGCCACCAAGCAGGTTCCCAGGAACTTGCCGTAGGCATCCATTCCGCTTCGGCCAGCCTGGATCTCGGAAACCACGACCTCTCGTGCGATGGGCAGGAAGGTGAAAGACGTGCCGATCACGGAGATCAGGCCCGTTCCCAAAGTGTAGCCACCGATCAGCTTCCAGCGAAGGATCTGCACTAGGGACAGCAGGCCCGAGCAGATCAGGGCCGCGGAGATCATGTACCTAAGCGCACCGCGGCATTTCGCACTCCAAGCCCGTACTTTCAAACCTTCTGCTTTCCAAGCTGCTGCTTGGAGTCGCAGAGCTCCTGGCGACACTTTGGGGCCGATGTTGCGGGATCTGTTGCTGTCAGAGTCTCGAAAGCAGGTGTGGGGAAGCTTTGGGGCACGTCAGGGAGTCTGCATGCAAGCTCCTGATCCAGCTGCCATGCAAAGCAGGCGTCGCCGGAGATCAACGATGGTGGAGTGATGATACCTTCCAAAAGAGCATCCACTAACACCAACAAGAGATGATGAGTATGCTGCAAGCAGCTGGTCTGCGTACAAGTGCACTGCATGTCACCGCAGCTTGCTATACTCAAATCACTGTCGGGGGCCTCCCAGCATGGCCAGGGCATGCTGCAGCCCCATGATCAACGACCTGGGAACAGCTTCGCATGCCGGCACACCCACATCATCACCATCCTCATCTTCCGCTCCATGACGAACATGACAAAAGACGAGATTCATCGTGCTCAGGGAGCACCACAATGTTGGTTGTCAGGCTGACGTTAACAGACTGTCAGCGTGTCTTCTCTATGCATAAGTGTAAACATACATACATACATACATACATACATACACATGCATACATATGTAAACGAAAATGCATGTGGATCTATTCATGTTCGTATCTATGCATGTATGTATGTATGGATGTATGTGTGTGCCAGTATGTAGACAGCTAGACAGAAATCTAGACGGATCGATCAACATACATACAGACAGACGGACGGACAAACGCACGGATGATGTGATGACAAAGAAAATATTAATGCTCCTAATGATGAGGATAACAGTAATTCTGCCATGATGATAATTCAAAGCTTTCACGTTAGTCATAATCTCGACTTACCCACGCTACAACCATCATCAGCTTCTATAACGGCTATAACCACTGCAATTGCTTCCGTCATGTTTCTATTCCTGATTGGGAGTGTCAACCGGATCCTTGTAATGCTGCAGCGACGAGAAAAACATACTACAGTGACTACAGATAACATGGGCACAACCAAATTCGTAATTAGCCATCACCGTCCCCGTCACTGCCGAGACCACAACCAGCCCCAACCACATCCAACCACCATACAAGTCCCCCAAGCCTTGAGTCAGCAAGGCTACTGCTAACCTAAGGTGTCAAAGTCGGCTTCAGAAGTCTACGTCGAAGGTGTCTGGCCAAGCATGGCAAGCTCGCCTCGTCTTATAGCATGCAAGCGGCAGCATCAGGGGCAGCTTCGAATCCGGCTTCAGAAGCGGCGGGGACTTCGCTGGCCCGAAGCAAGGCAACGACGGGATGCAGAGGTACTTCCAGTCCTCCGTCAGCTAGTTAGCCGGAGAGTCTGTCGCAAGGCAGACTTCTACTGCAAAGCACTCAAATCTTATTAATCGGGGGACGTAGGTGTTCAAGCCGATGAGGCCGTCGGGGGTGCAGCTGACACCGGAGCACGAGTCGCAGCCACCGAACCTCAAGGCCGCGGAACACGTGCACCGAACCAAAAACAAGCGCCTGTGCTTCGGACTGCCATGCAGACGAGCCGCGACTCCTTCGGTTCCTCAACCTCCTTCACATCCTTTTCGGCGGACATCATGGCTTCTGCGTCGATAGAGGGACAGCAACTACACCGGCGAAGCTGGAAAATGCTGTTGGCGTGCACACATGCTGCTCCACAGGCGAGAAGCGTGCCCTGTCACTCCATCCCAGCATCTCTCCACTCACTACTTCTGCCGCCCATGCAGACACTGGACTCACTGAGTGTTGCCGACATCTACCTTGGGTAGAGGGGAAGATAGCAACTGGGCTGATGTCTACCTTTCAGGAGACATCAGCAGGAAAAAGGATACTCGAAGCGCAAGCTCAGGGACCTCTCCCTAGGGCTCCAGTTACCTAAATAGTGGGTTAGGGTTTAGGGTTTAGGGTTTAGGGTTTAGGATACTAACCATAAATATATATATATATTATGTACCCCAGTAACCTACTAGTTAGGTAACTGGAGCCCTAGGTCTTGTGGCCTAAATGGCCTTTCTTCACCCAGCATCCAGTGCCGAGAGAAGGCACCGACTACGCCGAGGATCCGCTGAGCTTGCGACCCATAAACGCAGAGCGGACAGTACTAAGTAGTATTTGTCTGGCTCCACCTGACAAATCTGAAGTTCCTCAGCAGAACCCAGTTTCTGCGACAAAAATGGCTAGATCACATGTTTGCCTCGCCACTCTCCTTC